TGTGTGTGTGTGTATGTGTGTGTGTGTATGTGTGTGTGTGAATTGATTCATTCACCTTTAGCTCCCTCCAATAAGTGAAAACATGTGGCATTTCTTTTTCACTGCCTGACTCGTTTCACTTAATATTATTCTTTCAAGGTCCATCCATGTTGTTGTAAATGGCAGTATTTCATTCGTTTCACATTTCTGTCTTTGTATTTTATAAGATACTCTGTAATGTTTCATTTCTACTTGTAGTTTAAGAATTTTATTTCCTACATAACTTTTTGTAAAGTGTCTTGCTCTTATTTTAAATCTTTTGAAACATGCTAAACATTCTTTCCCAATTATTTTATCAATTATACTCCCTCTTTTCTTATAGCTTCAATTAAATAATTGATTTTATGAATTAAAAAAAAAAGAGTCATTAGGATGCTGAGCAGGGTAGGGAAGGAATATCAAATGTGCCTTTTGGAAAATCACCCTGTCATTCAGTAGAATGGAAGAGAGATGTGGAAAGGGGTTAAAACCAGAGGCAGGAAAGCTCAAGAGAAGCAAAAACAAGACAATGAGTCAGCAACTCCCCTTCCAACCTGTGGGACCCACTCTTAGGGGTTCTTAACCTTCTGTGTGCTATGGCCTCTTTGGCAGTCTATGGTAAAACAGCCTGACCTTTTTTCAGATCATTGCTTTTAAATACAGAAAATAAAATACCCAGGATTACAAAGAAAACCACTTATATTGAAATATAGTTATTTTAAACACCTGTGATATGGCAATATACGTGCTTCTTTATTAAACTTTATTTTATTTTTTTGAAATGCATACAATGGAATTTTATTCAGTGTTAAACAAGGAAATCTTGACATATGCTACAATAAGGAAAAACTTTGAGAATATTATGTCAAGTGAAATAAGACACTCAAAAAGAAGCTGAATGATTATACTTATATAAGATATCTAAAGTAGTCAAACTAATTCTTGACACTTTAAATAAGATGTAGCAGCTGGTTTGACAATTATTATAATTTTGAAGTATTTATGAACATGAACAATATTTCAAACAGCTATAAGAAGATACAACAATATCTGTGCTTCCATTAGTGGGGAGGTCACAGGTACTGCTGACACTACTGTGGTTTGCTGTATACATTTACACTTGAAGGAAATGCTGAGTGTTTGTGGGAGGCCAGTGAAAAGAAAACGTAATTTTTTTCCCACCCAAGTCATAGACCACCCTGAAATCTATCCAGCAACCCCCTAGGGATCCATGGATCCCAGGTCAGGAGTCCCTGTAAGATGTTCCTGGACTTTCCTCAGGAGTAAGTTGGTTAAGGTCCTATAAAATGAGGACACAGAAGGAGTAGGATAACAGTCAGACACTGTTTTATTCTAGGACTTATTCCCATGACCACATCTAAAAGAGCACACCTAAGCCAGAAGACACAATGACCCAGAATATTGGATTTTCTTTGGGTTATGATTAGAATCCATGTCTTCTTCTGAGGTAACAAAGACAGTGACCACAGGAACATGCCAGAAGATGCAAAGGGAAAATTGTTTGTTAGGGTATTTCTTTGGTTCTCAGGCCTCTCACCCTGAAGAATTTAGTTGAAAAGCAACAACAAATGGATAGGATGTTCAGATCCTATCCAGGTTCAGCTTCTGTCACCAGCAGGACAGCCTGAGACATAGATTTGTTCCACCTGGTATGCAGTTTCTTTAGGCAGAAAACACATACAAAAATGCACTTTTAAAATGAGGACCCAAATGTTTTCTTAAAATTCCTTTATATAACAACAGGATTCGTTCTTTACAATTTGCATATGAAATATCATTTATCTTCATCAACACTACAAAATTATAGTAATTATCAGGCCTGCTGCTACATCTTATTTAAAGTGCCAGTGAAAATGACATATACTGCCATATGACAGATTTTTAAAATGATAACTGTAGTTTATATAATTGGCTCCCTTTGTAATCCTGGGAATTGATTTATACAAACTAAAACCATCCACTAAGACTAATAATAATAGCCAACATTTAATTTTCACTAATTATGTGCTAAGCACTAGTCTAAGCACGTTATAAATACTGACTCCCTGACCCACTTAATCCTCATAACAATCCTATGGAGGAGGTCCTATATTTATCACCATTTTATAGATGAGGAAATGGAGGCACAGAGAACTAATAAGACTCAGAGGTGGGATTTGAAACAGATTATCTGACTCCAGAGCCAGAGTGTGAGCCCCAGAGCATGAGGGAACAGGATTTTTATCTTCAAATTCCCAGCACCGAGAATAGGACTGATTCATAGCAAATGAATCAGCCAGCAACCGCTCATTGAGCAATCGATTACAACAGAACTGTGAGGCATCTTTACCATGCAGCAGTTCTGAAGAAGAAAGATCTTGCTGTCTGCTTCCTCTACTAATCTTTTTTTTTTTTTTTTTTAACTTGGCAAGGACAGACTTTATTGGAAAGGATGCTGCAGGAGGAGGCAGAAGCTATCGTAATAGGGGGAAGGGGGATATGGCAACAGGGAAAATGCTCTGACCCAAGCATCTCCCTCTACTAATCTTCTTAAACATGATTAAAGCAACCCTAACTGCAGAATTTGGAACTGGTGGTCACCACCAAAGACTCTAACGTAATAGGGGGAAGGGGGATATGGCAACAGGGAAAATGCTCTGACCCAAGCATCTCCCTCTACTAATCTTCTTACACATGATTAAAGCAACCCTAACTGCAGAATTTGGAACTGGTGGTCACCACCAAAGACTCTAACCCACCCTGCCACCTGGTTCTCTCTCATACTCAGGATGGGTGGGGAAAGGAGTGGACAAGAAATAGAGAGGCCTATCCCAGACCAACAGTGAAGGAAATGGTTAATGGACTTCTGTGATCAGCACCCAAGGACGTGTTCACTTGGCAAACTCACAAACGAGTGAGTCATGAGAACACTTTCTTGGGATGTTCCCAGGAGGCACAATATAGAAAACCAAGTGCTTGAGAAGGGAGGTAAAGGCCTCTGCTCTTGAGAAAAGTATAACAGAATTTAGGCATTAATGCTTATCTTGCAGGCACTAGCTTGCTAAATGTAATAAAAGCTGTAACAGCGGCTGGGTCAGTGCTACTTGCCTGAGAGAGCAGTAGCCCCCCGCTCTTCACCTGCATCTTGTCTGCTGTGTCTTCCTTCGTGTCTCCGATCATTTTAATCAACACAACAGTGAATTCTGGAAACTGGTTTTGTGGAATATACTATAAAGCTATGTACTTCACAGGGCCTGGTTTTCCAAAACCTTGCAGTTTCAAATATTGACCTTGCAGAGGACTGGAAATTTTCCTCAGGCTATAAAATCTCTGGTGTAAGATAAAGATTTGTGACACAGGAAGGTTGCTGGCTCAAGGACAGACCAGTTACTGATTGTTATGTAAAGATACTGAGACATTGCTGTAAGAAGGAATGTTTGCTAAGATCAAGCTTTTGTTGGTGGCCTTACTGGAATGTCATCTGGCTTGTTTCACTGAAAGTTACCAGCCTATATTGTTAAACTATAACCCCACCTTTGTTCTCTTCGTGTAACTTCCTGGTCTGGAAAATAAATGCAGGAAGAGAACCCCAATTCGGAGTTAATTTCCCGAGGAAGGGATCCCTCTCGCTGTAGGGTTCCAGGGAAGTTAACCACTTCGAGGCTTCTCACTGCTCAGAAGAGATGGGGTGTGAGTAATCCTTTGCGTCTCTGTCACCCAGGGGAAGTGGGGTGACAAATCCGTTGGGGGTGAAGCAACACAAAGCAACAGGTTTAATACAAGGTATGTGGGTAAGGAAAAGTGGGGGAGGCCTTAAAAGCCACTAAAGAATATCAAGGGGCAACCTTAAAGAGGTCAAGGGTGAGGAGCAGCTCTTCGTGACTTAATAACCACATTCTGCCCACTCAGGAGGAAGCTGCTGCCTTTCTCAGCCTAACAGCCCACAAAGCCATTCTCTGTTGGGTTATCACATGCTCGTGCAGAACAACAGCAGCAGTTCAGACAGATGGAACCAACACCCATGTGCCCCACACAGCCCTTGGAGCAGTGCTGGCGGGGAGAGGTGCAGACGTGGGCCACAGCGGGGACATCCCACATTCCAGCTGGGCAGGGACGTGGTCAGAACTCACCTGTAGGTGTATGGACCCACTTCTTCCAGCCGAGGGGTCTCCCCTCTGAGGATCTCCTCTGGATTGGTGACATTGAAGAAATAGAACTGGGTGTACACAGGCAGAGGGGGCTTCTCCCAGGAGTCAAAGACCTCAGTGCCATTTCTTAACACAATATTCTAGGGAAAAAAAAACAAAAGGTGATTTACAACAATGTAAGGCAGTTGGCTTTGAATACAAGTTCTGGTCCCTCCACTTGAGGTGGAGCCACACCCATCCCTACTACCTTCACCACCAGGGGCTTTACGTGCATTTTCTTATTCAACCCCCAACAAGTGCTGAAGTAGAGATGCCCATCCCTTCTTCAAAGACAAGGAAGCTGAGCCTTACTGGGGTTGTGTCCAAAATCTCCTGGGCTTCTCACCTGTGCTGTGTATTATGGGCTGAATTATGTACCCCACCCCCACCCCAAATTTATATGTTGAAGTCCTAACCCCCAGTACCTCAGAACATGACTGTACTTGGAGATAGGGTCTTTAAAGAGGTAATTAAGGTTAAATGAGGTCATGAGGGTGGGCGCTAATCCAATATGACTGGTGTTCATATACAAGGAGGAAATTGGGATACAGACATGGAGAGAGGAAAGACCATGTGAAGACAAAGGGAGAAGACAGCATCTACAAGCCAAGGAGAGAGGCCTCAGAAGAAATCAACCCTGCTAACAACACCCTGATTTCAGACTTTTAGCACCCAGAGCTGTGAGACAATAAATTTCTGTTGTTCAAGCCACCCAGTCTGGCAGCACTAGCAAACTAATACACCACGGCTCTCCTATGTGAGGAGTATTCTTCCCCACCCCACTGACTTCAGGCTTGGTCAAGTGACTAGTTTTGGCCAAGAAAACGTGGGTGGAATGGCAGCGCTTCAATTTGGAGCTAAGGCCTTAAGATGTATGGCAAGTTTCCATCAGCCGTCTTGAGGCAGCCACCCTCTGCAGGAGAAGGGCACGCCACAGGTAGCCATGGATCCTTCAGCCCAGGTCTTAAAATGGGGATGTCAGACCAGACCTGAAGCTGACCAAAACCTGGAGTCTAGCCTCATCCAGCTGAGCCTGCCAAGCTCAAACTGCAGCAGGCCTGCACACCCACCCCACGAGTGCAAAACAGATGCTACTGTCATGAGCCCACGAGACCTGGGGTTGTTTGTCATTCACCATGGCAGCAGAAGTCTGGTAAGTTCAGTGCCTGAGGCTAACAGGCAGAAACCTAACACCTACTCGTCCTAACAGTCCTCAGTCTGTTAATGGAGAAAAGCTTTGTATTTTTATAGTAAAAACTACTGAAGTCCACAGAAAGATAAAAGCACAGCCTGAAAGTAAATTAAAATGTGAACAGTGATTAACTTTGAATGTTGGGAATTTGGATCACTCCTATGAGATCTTGTATTTTCTAAATTTTTTGTAATGAACAGAAAAAACTACAGCAGAAAATTTTTTAAAGAAAATCAAAAGAGGAAAAAGTGGCCTGACGTGTCAGTAGACCCCAATAAGAACCAGACTGCAAGCAAAGCAGCCCCTGCTGTCACTTGTTACTCCTCTGGCAGTGAGGCTTTGAGTGACAATGAACAAAGGGACCTGCTTCAGGATGCTGGAAGCTGCACACTAACAATGTACTGTGACACAGCATATAACAGAATGTCAAATTGTATTAGTCCAGGCCTCCAATTTAGCAGAAGCAATGTTGCAACAGAACTTAATGATATAGCTCTATTGCTATACAGAAAATATCCCAAGAATCTCTGCAGAAAAAAAAAGTGACTATAGAATAAATGAATGTAGAAAACTAGGCAAGTCAATGCAAAGCCACTCATCCAGAGGACTGGAAGTAAATTCACACCGACCAGTTGCCCATTTCATAGAGCTGGGGATTACTTGTAGTTTGGCACCAGCTCAGAGATTTCTATCCAAACAATATATGGTTGAAATATTCTTGGTCTTTACTATCAGTACCGATTTAATGAGTTGAGATCAGGCCATTTCATAGAGCTGGGGATTACTTGTAGTTTGGCACCAGCTCAGAGATTTCTATCCAAATAATATATGGTTGAAATATTCTTGGTCTTTACTATCAGTACCGATTTAATGAGTTGAGATCAGATTGATGAAGATAGGAAATTTAAAGACAAACCATGGAATCCCTTTCCTCCAGCCTCCAGATCCAGCCCAAGACTCTCCTTGGAGAAGTATCCCCACCCACTCGCCCACATTGATCACTCCCTGGCCCAGGAACTGTGAGGCTTAATCAGCCATTTTAGGCAGTTATTTAAGAGCTT